TTTTTCCAGGGATCCAGGTGGGATTTTTCCAGGGATCCAGGTGGGGTTTTTCCAGGGATCCAGGTGGGATTTTTCCAGGGATCCAGGTGGAATTTATCCAGGGTTCCAGGTGGGGTTTTTCCAGGGATCCAGGTGGGATTTTCCCAGGGATCCAGGCAGGGAAGGAGCGGGAATTTTCCCTGCTGAGGAAGAGGCAGAGGGATCTGGCCGTGGCCTGGAGCAGCTCCCGCTGCTGCGATCCCCGCAGAGCAGGGAGGGGAGGGAGCACAGCGGGATCCGTGTCCTGGGAATGGATTTTGGGAATCCGGCTGCAGGTGGAGCACCCAGAGCAGCGAGTCCATGGTCACTGCTGGCTCCTCCTCGGGGATGGGCAGAGCCCGGCGCTGCACCCCCACCCCCTCCTGCCCCCCAGGCCCTTTTTGGGGTGATCCCAGTGCAGCCTTCCTCCTCCTCCTCCTCCTCCTCCTACTCCTCCTCCTCCTCCTCCTCCTCCTCCTCATTCCTGCTTCCCAGGATGGGATCCCCATCGCTGGGGCTGGGAGGGTCCTGACCCCAAATCAGGAGTAGAGGGAGGGGAGAGAGCTTCCAGCACCCCCTGGGGCTGGGGATGATGATGATGATGATGATGATGAGGAGGAGGAGGAGGAGGAGGAGGAGGAGGAGGAAGGTGCCCCGTGACCCGCAGTGGGGTGGTGACCCCGTTCCCACTCCCGGCGTGGGGCAGAGGGGCTGGACACCGGGAAGGATGAGCAGGATGCCGTGCCGGGAGTGTCCGATGGGAATTTGGGGTTCCCTGCCTCGGGGGTGTGTGGGTGTGACCCCCTCGCCCCAAAAGAACCCCGCCCCCGCTGGGTGCCCTGGCAGCGGGTGGCACCGCGGCCCCTCTCCCGTTCCCGGGGCTCTCACCCACCCAGGGGTGCGGCACCCTGGCCCTGCCACCCTGGGATGTCCCCCTGCCACCCCGGGATGTCCCCCTGCCATCCCAGGCTGTCCCCCTGCCACTTCAGGCTGTCCCTCTGCCATCCCAGGGTGTCCCCCTGCCATCCCAGGGTGTCCCCCTGCCACCCCGGGGTGTCCCTCTGCCATCCCGGGGTGTTCCCCTGCCATCCCAGGGTGTCCCCCTGCCACTCCAGGCTGTCCCCCTTCCACCCCAGGGTGTCCCTCTGCCACCCCGGGGTGTCCCCCTGCCATCCCAGGGTGTCCCTCTGCCATCCCAGGGTGTCCCCCTGCCACCCCGGGGTGTCCCCCTGCCACTCCAGGCTGTCCCCCTTCCACCCCAGGGTGCCCTAATTTCCCGTCCCCAAGGTCCTCCCCCACCCAGGGACCCTTCCCCACCCCACAGCGTCTCCCCTCTCCCGTTCCCGGGGCTGACACCCACCCAGGGGTGCGGCACCCCGGCCCTGCAGCCCCCCCGGGTGCCCCCTCCCATCCCCCGCCCCTCGGACGGAGCACCCGGGGGGCGGAATTTGGGGCGGGCGGAGGGGTCCCCCGGAGGGGTCCCCAGGTAGGGTCCCCCGGAAGGGTCCCCGGAGGGGTCCCCCGGAGGGGCCGGGCAGGTGCATCCCAGCCGGGAGGGATGGATGGGGAGACGGGCGCGGAGGACGAGGAGGACGGGGAACCGCACGGAGCCCCCCCCGACCCCCGCCCCGGGCGGAAGGGCGGCCCCGGGCCCGGCGGAGGGGCGGGGAGGGGACGGCGGCCCCGGCGGCTCTGCCCCTTGGCCGTGGCTCGGCGGAGCGCGGCCGCCCCTCGCCGCGCCCCCTCCCCGGCAGCCGGAGCGCGGCAGCAGCCGGCGGAGCCCGGCGGAGCCCGGCGGAGCCCGGCGGAGCCCGGCGGAGCCGCCGAGCGCGGAGCGCGCAGCGGAGCCCGGCGGGGATGCGGGCGGCGGCGAGCGGCTGAGAGCCGGCTCCGCGCCGGGCGGAGCACGCCCCGCTGCCCTCCGCTGCCTTCGGGATCTACCTTGGGAATTATCACGTTATTTTTTATTGTCCTCCCCCCCCCCCTCCCTTTTTTTTTTTTTTTTTTTTTGCCTGATTTTTACCATATTTTTTTTCGCACACGTGGAGGAGCGCGTGGATTTCCTACCATGATCTTGGCAAACGCCTTCTGCATCGTCCTCTTCCTAGGTGAGCGGCCCCAGCGGGGGTGCCGGGGGCGGGGTGGCGGCTGTCGCCGGGCCGGGGTGGCGCGTCCCCCGCCGGGCACGGGGGCTGCGGGGGCTGAGGCGGCGAGCGAGCCCCTCCGAGCTGCCACCGGCGCTGCGGCAGCGCAGGGGCACGGCCGGGGGCTGAACTTCATCTCCTATTCCCTGCCAACTTGAAACGGGGAGGGGGACACGGGGGACACGGGGGACACGGGGGGACACGGGGGACACGGGGGGACACGAGCCCCGCCGCCCCCTGGGCGCCGGAGCGGGCAGGATCGGGCAGCAGCCGAGCCCTGCCCGTCTCCCATGCCCGCTGCCCTCGGCAATCCAGCCGGGATTTCGGGGAGATCTCCCGGTTCTCCCCCTCCCAGCCGTGCCTCCCGCTGCCCTCCATCCTCCCCCCGCGCCGTTCCGGAGGTTGGGAACGCGGCGTGGAGACTCGGAGGGGAAAGTTGAGCTGGCGGCTCGGGGAATCGCCGGCTCGGCTCGGCTCGGCTCGGCTCGCCTGGGCTGGGCTGGGCTGGGCTGGGCTCGGCTGGGCTCGGGGCTTTGTGCCGGGAGATCGCTCCCGCTGCCAGCGCAGCCTCCCCCGGCGGGAGCCGCTGGAACGGGGAGCGGCCGCAGCCCGCGCCGGGTTTGGGGTGAAAAGGGAAGGAAACGGGAATGCTCGGGCAGCGCTCGGGCAGCGCTCGGGCAGCGCTCGGGCAGCGCTCGCCCTCCGCGCCTCGGGCGTGTCGCGCTCCCGGGGTCGTTCCCGGCTCCCGGGGCCGTTCCCGGCTCCCGGATCCGTTCCCCTTTCCCGGGGTCATTCCCCACTCTCGGGGCCGTTCCCCACTCCCGGATCCGTTCCCCAATCCCGGGGCCGTTCCCCACTCCCGGATCCGTTCCCCACTCCCGGGGTCGTTCCCCACTCCCGGGGCCGTTCCCCACTCTCGGGGCCGTTCCCCTCTCCCGGATCCGTTCCCCACTCCCGGGGCCGTTCCCCACTCCCGGATCCGTTCCCCACTCCCGGGGCCGTTCCCCACTCC